GCTTAATGAAGGTAAATATTTTTGTTTGTTTCGTTCACTGGTAGATCTGAAGTGCCTCAGGTATCTGGCAAATAGTAGGTGCTCGGTAAACACATGAACGAAAGAAACTTTTTAAGTACTAGTAATATACTGGGTTTAAATCCTAACTCTTCGTTTATTAAGTTTGTTACCGAAAGCAAGTTACTGAATTACGTACATTGTGGAGTAGTCATGTCAATTATGTGGTATGACATGTTGGAAAATCCTGGCCGACGCTTGATAACCAGGAAGCCTTTGGTAAGTTCGTTCCGTCAACAGACGGTGATGGAATACTTATGATGCGCCAGGCATCACTGGCGCACCTCACCGAGCAAAGCAGCCGAAAAGCCCTGCCGCCGTGGAGCTCGTCTCCCTTCCTTCGTTGTTGTGGTTTCTAGGAAGAAAAGGCCTGATCCCACCTCGCCCATTTAGTCGTCTCTCGCCCTAGATTCAGAGTCAGTTAATTCTTACAGGTACCCACTTTCACTACTTTTGAATTCAGTTATCTTATTCTTTGAATTGGTCCCAGAAGAAGGAGTTTTTAACCCTCATTTTACAGATAAGAATTCTGAAACTTAGAAGTTGTGACTTGTTCAAGGTCATCCAACCAGGAGAAATCGGAGCCAGGATTTGAAGCCCCACGAGGTCCCTGCTCTTTCCATGGTGGCACTTGTAGCAGAAACACCATGACGTATACTCATTTCACTGCCTATTTTATTTCCGGTCTACAAACATTCATTGAGCCCCACTAAATGTCAGGTGTCAGACCTGCCCTGCGAATACAGATTGTCTAGTTCTTGCCCTGAGGAGTCCAGCGTTTGGTAGGGAAGACTTGGCACATAAGCGGGCATGCACCGTGCTGCATGGAAGGCTAGTTCTGTTCATGGATACCTGGGCGCACAGCGGAGGGTCAGGACATGCTGGAAAAAGACACGCCAGAAGGGATCATCCCTGAGTTGAGTCTGAAAGGATGCCTTGGCCAGGAAAAAGGGAGGGAGTAGAACAGTAGCAGAGACTCATGGTGAACAGAGAGGACTCTAGGCTCTGAGAGTTGCTGGAGTGTAAAGCACGGAGCAGGGAATGGCCAGGGATCAGGCATAGTTAGTGGCTGCCAGATGAGACCACATTCTGCAGGCAGGACTCTTACCAGGACCATGCTTTTCGCTACCTTTATGTCAGTTACCCACCCAGGGAAGAGGAATTGCGTGGTACAAGGCCTGCTACCTTTACATAAGGAATTGCTCAGGAGAGGGTAGTGGGCATGTGGGCAGCATACACCCTGAGCTTCCCCAGAGGGAGTGATGCGGAGGCATAGTAGAAGCCAAGCCCAGCTTGGAGATGGTGAATTTTTAGTGGCAGGAGTTTATTCAGCGATGTGGTCTTCCTGAACAGCTCAGTCATGGAGCCAGAATTTAAACATTGATCCAGTGTTGATTTCGGATAGCTGGTGATTAAGAGGGTTGTTGGTGGGAGAACAGCTTCAGAAGACTGGCCACGAAGTCCGAGCTGGATGGAGAAGACAGGGACAGGGAGAAAATGGGGTGGTCGAGAGACTGAAGGATCTTGTGAGGTTGAAGAGCGTAAGTATTGGGAGAAAAAGATACGATCAGGAAGAAAAGTCACAAAGAAGAACATTGCTGTTTAAGATGTCTGAGGTGGAGGTTCTCTGAAGGATGGTAAGATCTAGGACGGCTGAAGAGGAGGCTAAGGATTACTGGAGGCACGGAATTGTGAGGCTAGGGTATCAGATGGATCACGACCTGGTTATTTACTAGTATGGCGTTAAGAATTAAGAGACAGAAATATTGCAAGCTAGGGACTAGTGCCTTAATGAATAAAGGAAGGGAAAGAAATTAATGCATGAGAACAGCAAGGAACGATAAAGGATGCTAAATCAAGATGACGTGAACCTCAAAGAACATGCTTTACTCCAAACCATTATTTTGTGGAATAAAGTTATTTAATGGAATAATAGTTTGACTCCGTAAAGCTGTTCATGGTAAGCTTGAAAAATACCAGCGCCTCGTCCAGGGCACCACCCAGTATTGGGAAGGGAAGAATGGAAAGCTTCTATCAAGCAGGGCTCTAAGCTATACGGTGTTCTGGGAGCAAACCATGTTTCGGTCATATCAAGAAGATGAAAACAGAATTTTGTGTAGCAGATTCTTCTACCTCTGTGAAATATGACTAACCACCCTGGGCAATCTTAAACTTTTCCTTATCTGTATTCCAAAAGTAGCCATAATTTCGTGTATATAGTTATCAGATGTTTATTGAGCACTAACTAAGGTTTAGACGCTGTAGTAAATATTAAGATAGGATTAGCATTATACCTTCCCTCAAAAGTTTAAGGACCAGTGGGGGCAATAATGATACATCAATAGCTGGTCAAACCAGCTCTCCAATCTTGTTTTTTGCTGCTCCTCATCGTATACCAGCCAGACGAAACCTGCTCACGTCCCGGTGTTCCTGCCTCCATGCCAGTTTCTCTCGCTGAGCCGCACACGGTACCCTCGTCCCTCAGCGCACTGCCTGCCCTTCTGGATCTAGCACGTTCCACTCCTTTTCTATAACTTCCCCTTATTTCTCCGCATGATGTAACCTCTTCTTTCTCTGAATCCCTGAAACCGTTTCTTATGTACCTCTCTAAAACAATACCATGTTTCACCAGTTCTAAGATGCACAGTTTTTTCCCTTTTTAACACCTCTGTAGATTACTCTTTTAAGATATACTTTGTCATCAACGCTCTTAAAAGAATACAGGATGATATTGCTTTTTTCTTAGTGTACATAAAATAATGGTGTGACTTACAATCAGCAGTGTGCTAGATTCAAAGAAATAGGATAGTTAACTTTTATTTTGTGCTTGGATATGCCAGGTATTGAGAACGTGTGCCTTCCTAATTGCATCATATATATTTATGTTTCGTTTCTAAATCTTATATTAAACTAGTGCCACAGAAGACACAGGTAAGGTACTATATAAGTGAACATCTGCTAGTACATTCTCAGTTAACTTCTTAACTGTGTTTTTGTTAGAAATGCCTTTCTATGATATTTGGTCAAGTCCTTGGGCTGGATCTCAATTAATTTTTCAAACTAACCGTAAATGAACCTAACAGAATTCTGTAAACTTAGGGCTGGTTTGCTGACAACATTTCTAAGCAAATATGACTCATCTTGATTGAAGCATTGCAAGTGGTAAATAAAGCCTTAGAGAACACACAGCAGCGACACTGAGATTGCACCGGAGAGCAGACAAATGCCCGTCTCTAAGAAATACAGTACTTTCAAAAATAACCTTGTATCCTTCCCTCCGATCAATCTCTCTACACCTCAGATGAAAAAACAGCCGAGGGAATTATGTGTATATGATATTTTCTGGGACTTTTTACCTTTATTTTTTGAGCTACAAGAACAACAAGAAATAACATAAGCATTTTTTTTAGTCAGCAATATAGTTCTACTTCTGATTTAAATGTTTGTTTCCATTTTTCTCTAACGGAAAGAGCAATGCCAGTGTGTTTACAAAACACTTGTCATAGAATAGTATACTCGACTGTTCACCAAATATTTCCATTTCTCTTTCAGGATACATGATAGGGTTGTACATACTTTATTAATTAAAATTGGGTGTGGCCATATGACCTTTCTGTCCGATGAAATGAGACCGATGTGACATGAAGCTTCAAGAGCTAGTCCATAACTTGTCACACTTCCTTTCTCCAGCTGCAGTGACCGTAGAAGCACACAGATGTAGCCTCTCTCAGCCGAAGCCCCTGAGCGAGGAGGGCGTAAAGCCAGGCCCAACTCCCTCGGCTGGCCTGCTCATAGACGCATAGCATGTTTTATGCCACTGAGATCACGGGGTTTTTAGAAAAGCACACCCTAGCTTTTCCTGATGAGTATAGTCTTCACCCCGAAACAATGGGCTTTGGTGATAACTAAAAGAATATAAAAGATTTGATATGCTGATATTGGCTTAGCATTTCTTTTTCTTCCTTATGGAAATATTTACTGGACACAGCTTCTATCAAATAATAATTATCTCAAAGTGATTTGGGTCATTTTCCATGCATCAAAATAGTTTTCTTTGAGTTACAACATTTTCTCAAGACATTTTGACATAGTTCTGTAAGATGTCCTTTTAAATGCTAACAGTAGAATTGTTTCCTGAAAGCAGTGACCATCATCATTCATTCTTGTATTTATTCTTTTATTCAACTCCCTTTTATGGAAAGCCCATTATTTGCCAGATGCTAAGACTAGGAAGGTGTTCAGGGAACTCTAGATAGCTTAGTGGAAAGTGGCAGGAGGCAAGCAGGGGCCAGAACTGTAAAGGACTTTGTTCTTCTGATGTCTGAATGCTTTAATGTTTTCATAAATGATACCTATTTCATTTTTAAATAATTTAACCACATTTAAAACTTAATTTTACAAATATCACATCCAAGTTGATACAGACCAAACATTGACACTTTTGAGACCACCAGCACATGTGCTCATCACTTAGCTCTTTTTCTTAATTCCTCCAGTGTACCAGTCAGGACCTTGTCACCTCTGGGCCTTTGCACATGGTATTCTCTTTTCCTGTTTTCCATTAATTTAGTTCAGGAAATCGCCGCATGCTATTTCTATTGAAATTGCTGACACCATCTTCATAGAAAGGAGTATGTTTTTCTATATCATAGTTTTGAAAATCTCGTTGGAGTTAGAAGTTTCTCTACCATAAGCTAGTATAGAAACTAAGAAATTAGGTGCTATCAAAAAGTTGAATTATCCCAATCATCACTGAAGAAAAAAGGGTTTCATCACATGACCAAGTGGCTTCAAGCAACAAAATAAGAACTTAAAAGCTGGATTCCATTTCTGGTGTTCAGTATAAAAACCTGAACATCACTTGCAGAGGTAGCGCGGGAGAGTAGGGAGGCGGCAGCTTCCTTCGGCTCACCCTTTCCTCACCTTGTGACGTTTCATTCCAGGGGTTCTTCAGCAAGCGCCTGAAAGGCTCCATCAAGAGGACCAAAAGCCAGTCAAAGCTCGACAGAAACACGAGCTTTCGGCTTCCATCCCTTCGCAATACGGACGACAGGTAGGAAGTTAAATTGCTTAAAACAGAGAAAGCAGTTTTACGGTGGGTTTCCGTTAGGCATTTTGGTCTCCAACATCGCATCGGTGACAATTGGAATGATCCAATACGAAAGTTGCTTTTTTTGTCTTGCTCATATTGAGACAAGGTATAAAATGTTAGCTCAAATACCCAGCCAGTTCAAGAATCTTATAATAATATTGGCAAGTGTGTGGATACATAAGAACTTAATTTAAGAATCAATTGTGCTGTTTCTATAGAACCAAGCTCTAGTGGTCAGAGATGTATCTTTCTTTTGTAGAATTACTGTATGGGATGATGATGATGATGATAGCTAACATTTTTTTGAGCACTGTGCTAGATGCTTTATACATATTGTCTTTTTAAATCTTTATAATAACCCTACAAGATAAATATTACCGTTATCACTATTTTACAGATGGAGAATCTGAGACATGGAGAGGTTAAGTAGTCTTTCCCAAGGTCATACAGCTTAGTAAATAGCAAAATATGGTATTCGAACTTAGGCAGTTTGGTTCTAGAGTCCATACTCTTCACTATTACATTGCTCTTTGTGTATAGCTTACGGAATCAGTCTGATTGGTTTGCAGTGACACCTAGAAGACATATATGAAAAGGAAGCCTGGATTTCAGTAATTGGGACTACCAGCTCGAGTAAACCTCAGATGTATAGCTTGCTAAGGATAGCAACCTTCTAAAATCATTGAATATGTGCTAGGACGGACACATCTAAACCTCAGATGTATAGCTTGCTAAGGATAGCAACTAAATTCTAAAATCAGTGAACATGTGCTAGGACGGACACATTTTTAACACTTCATGCCTCCATAATTAATAAATACAATTTAGGAAATGGTACTTTTTGTATCTTAACACATCACCACCATCACCAGTATTTACTGAGTGCTTACTATGTGCCAAGCATTTTTAATGTAGACTCTCATGTAATACAAATCTAGATACTACTATTACTATCCTCTGTTGGGGGTACACTGTTGCCCCCGGTAGAAGAATCTGTTGTTGGGAAGAAGGGAAGGTTGGATATTACAAAGACAACTAGCAGTCTCTGACATAAGAAGTAGGTTGATTTGCCCACCCACCCCCAGCAGTAGGGAAGGGTTCAGCTCCCACCCGGCTCTAGAAGGCCAGCAGCCATGCTTACCTTTATCACATGGCAAGTTTGAGGAACTGAACCAGCCCAGATAAAAAGACCTACAGATAGTGACATTTGTGCTCTTCCACAACAATCCCCGCTGGTAATCACACCCCTAAGTATATTCAATAGAAATGAAAATACATATTATTACAAACACTTGTGCGTGAATGTTCATAGCAACATTATTCAAAAAAGCCAAAAAGTCGTGGCGATCCAAATGTCCATCAACTGCTGAATGAATAAACAGAACATAAGACGTTCGTGCAATATATTATTTAGCGATAAAAAGGAATAAAGTGCTGATAACATGGTACAATGGGGATGAACTTTGAAAACTTTATGCCAAGTGAATGAAATCAGTCACAAAAGATCATATATCATATGATTTAATTTCTATGAAATGTCCAGAATAGCAAATCTTTAAAATCTTTAAAGACAGAAGATTAACAGAGATGTGGGGATATGGAGATACGGGTGGTAAATGAGAAATGACTGCTAATGGACATGAGGTTTCTTTTTGGAGTGATGAAAATATTTTAAGCTTAGATTGTTGTGATAATTCCACAACTCTGAATACGCTGAAAACTGTACATTTAAATGGGTAGATGTTATAGTATGTGAATTATATGTCAATAAAGATGTTCAGTATTTTAGGGGAAAAAAACAGCTGGCCAGGAAGTACTCTGCAACGAAGCTTATTAATCCATAAGCTTCATTCCAGCACACAAAGCTTCCCTTGAGCTTTTTAGTACTTTACTCTTAAATATTAACATATAGCCAAGAATCTTCAGGTATTTGAGGAAAATCTCCAACCTGAATGAGAGAGAGCAAAACAAATAAACAGGAGAAAAAAGAACCCAAAAGAAACAGACAATGCATAGAGCCAAAAACAACTTTAAAGTATAATGAATATTTTCAGAAGATAAGACTGTGCATCAATCAAACAAGCAAGATACTGTAAGAAAAGGAACATCCATGAAATAAGAAAGACAGTCGGAAATTAAAAATATAAAAGCTAAAGTCAAATCATTCTCCCAGAAAGTAGAACAGAAAATGAGAAAATAAACCCAGAAGATTCTAGAAAAGAGAACACAGAAAAACTTAGGAGAGGAAATTGTCAAAGAAATAATACAAGAAAATTTCCCAAAACACAAAAACACAAATGTCTACATCGAAAAGGCTACCAGATTCCCTGCACAGTGAATGAAAAAAGACCAGAGATCACCCCCCCACACTACACGCACACATCCATTCACATCATCACGAAATATTGGAGCACCGAGGCTTTAAAAATATCTTAAAAGCTTCTAGAAAGAAAAAGTAGATTACATATGAAGGAGGAGCGAAGAGTTGCATTGGAATTCTCAGTAGAAATATTGAAAAACAAGACAATGGAGCAATGTCTTTAGAATTCTAAGTGGAAATTACTTTCAACCCAATATGCCATAGACAGGGCAGTCCTTGAATGTCAAACTGAGAAGTTTGGAGTTTATCATGTAAGCAGGGGGAAACTTTTAAACATTCTTGAGCAATCAGAATTGTGCTTTGTATAGATTAGTCCAGCAATGAAGTTTCAAATGACTTGCTTTACAGAGGCAAAGTTTGAGAGACCAGTTAGCAAAAAACTATTTGTAAGAAATGATGAAGGCTCTAAGAAGGATAGTGGCAGTGGGAATGAAGAGGCAGAGATAAGATAGGAGGGACATTTTAGAGGCAAAATCAATAGGATGTCACAAAGTCATCATTGTTCTAAAGCCAGCTAATCAGATAAAAGCCAGTAAAGTGATTTCCTAGAATCAATATTGGCAGCATTTTCACATTAAAGCCATGTCATACGGGAGGGTGTTGGGACACAGAAAACTCTGCCATTTCTGCCATCTATTCAAATGCACTTTGAAAAGTTCAAAAAACTAGAAAATGCTGAAAATTGTGGTCATACTACATTGTCAGGCGTTCCAGGGTTCCAGGTGCCTGTCGGGCTGACTCTAGAAGTACTGCTTAAAAACTACCCAAAGTTTTGAGGTAACTATAAGCACAAGTAGTAGAATTTTTCTCACCCCTTTCTGATGCCCCTCAAATAAAAACCTTCAAAGTTATGTCCTCAGTTCTGAGGCTCACTAACAAAACTTGGTTTTAAAAGTATCTGCTTATTTGTTCTTTGTCAGGAGATACCTAAAACTAAGTGTGGTATTCATTTGTAGGAGGGAGGGTGGATTTTGGAACAATATACAGAGCTTCTTAAGTTTCTCCTAATTTAAACTAATTTTTTACCTTTTTATTTTGAATTTATATATTCACAAGAAGTTGTAAAAATAGTACAGTCTTACAAACTTTCTCCCAGCTTTCCCCAGTAATATCTTATATCTACAGTATAATATCAAAACCAGGTAATTGACATTGGTACAATACTATTAACTAGACTACAGACATTTTTCAGTTTACACCAATTATTATATGCAGTCATTTGTGTGTGTTTGTAGTTCTGTGCTGTGTAATCCTATGTGTAGATTTGTATAACCACCACCACAGTCAAAGTACAGAATTGTTCCAATACCAGAAAGAAGTCCCTCGGCTACAGTCATCCCTGTCTCTCCCATCCATCCCTGACCCCTAGCAACCACTGATTCGTTTTCCATCTCTATAATTTTTTATTTCAAGAATGTTATTTAAATGGAATCAAGTAGTATGTAATAATTTAAAATTGGCTTTATTTTCACTAAAAGAACACTCTTAAAATCCATCCAAGTTGTTGGATCTATCAGTAGTTTGTTCCTTGTTGTTGCTGACGAGTGTTCCTTAGTATGACTATACCAGGGTGTATTAAACCATTCACCCACAAAGGATATCTGAGTGATTCTTCGTTTTTAGCTTTTATGAATTAAGCTGCTGTGAACAATAGTGTACACAAGTCTCCACCTCTCTGGGGTGAGTACACAAGAGAGCTATTGCTGGGTTGTATGATAAGTACATTTTTAGGTTTTTAAGAAACTGTCAAACTATTTTCCGGAGTACCTGTACCATTTTACAGCCCCACCAACAATGGTTATGGGGTCTTTCTGTGTTCCAAGAGATTTTCGCCAATGTTTTCTTATAGAAGTTTTATGATTTTTTGCTTTTCTTTTTAGGTCTGTGACTCATTTATTTAATCTGTGGTTGCATTAAATAGAAGATCTTGACTCAGTTTGTGTTCAGTCTAAGATATTAATCAAAGCCGCAGACTTGCCCAAGCCAAGCCGGTTACAGGGAGGCTGCCTGCCATTGTGTTCCTTGCATCTACCTCTATTATAGTGCCTGATACATAATGCACACCAAGTAATTACTGGATGGATAGATGGATTCATACATATATTCATTTATTCAACCAAATTAGAAGCTAATGGGAAAGCAGATAGTCATGAATTTTGGAATGATTAACAAATGTCATTGAACTCCATCCGTTTTTTCCTCTTTTATCCTCTTTTCACTCATATTTAATTTTATGGCAATAATGAGACTAAAAGTCTAAATTCAGAAAGAAAAGTTATTAGTCTTTCTACTCATCCTTTAACTAGTGGGTATGTTAGTTGAGGTGGTTTATGAGTATGGTTTGGTTTAGTTTCATGGGAGTCTTTTAATTCAATATAGTTTTGTTTATATTAAATTGTTTAATAGGCACTATTAGAGTTTATTCCATTTGCAATTTAAAGAGACACAGAAAGGGTGTATTACAATACGGTACAGTTTCTGTAGAGAGCTTGTTCCCTAGAGTCTGTCATGTTGGAGGCCAGTTGAATTTTCTGCCCTCCAGAACATGTTTTAATATTTATAGTCTTGTCTTCCTTCTGTGTCCACCTTCACTGTGTATATACGTGCACATGTACCAAAATAGGTGGAATGTCATGTTTGTCTATGATGATGAATTTCCTTTCCAAGAGTATGTTCATTTTAAGTGACAACTCAGGCTGACAAGTATCCTTTTTTGCCATTAGCAGCTGGGCTCATTACACCATCCTGTCTAGAGACTGAGAACCGGGAGAAGGAAGATCAGCAGTCTATGTTTCCAAAAATAGCTTTTTTGTGTGAGTGGTTGTATGGCATTTTTTTAAGCTAACATAAAAATCAGTGAGTAATAGGGGCAGCAGGGACTGGCTTTAAGCTCCCCAGGTAAAGAAGTGCCGTCAGGGTCCTCGGGAAGGACATCTTTTTCAGTCTACACATAGAACTCTGGCAAATGAACTTTAATTTAATTTATTTCATCTCCCTTCCTTCCTTCCTTCCTTCCTTCCTTCCTTCCTCCCTCCCTCCCTCCCTCCCTCCCTCCTTCCCTCCCTTTTTTCATTTAGGGAGGGAAACCTTTAAAATGATAGTACAGAAAAGGATCTGCTCTTTCAAACAGAAAACATCAGTTGGATGTTTTCACGGATATCAGGTTGAAAAACAATTGAAATCACGGAACAGGTAAAGCTACATTTTTCCCAAAGTGAGATCTCAGATGTAGTTTTTAATAAACTGATCAAACCCTATATAAACTCGCCGGTAGAGTATTAGAACACCTAATTTTGTTAATTACTACCTGGGAAATTTTCAAATGAGGCAGAGTGCCTTAGGAGTACATACTGGTGAATACAAGCGTGTATTGCTGCACCCAGCTTATGGCTGAGCTGCCTCTTCAGGAATTCAGTGAAGCAATCTGAAATCAGAACTGCCAAGCCAAGCAGAAATTCACCTGCACTGAAGTACAGGATTTTGTGTGGCAATAAGCATATTTAATTAAGTTTCCCAAGTTTGGGACTAAATCTGTAAACATGTGGCAGATTGAGCTAGCACATCCAAGCACCATTGGTGCTTTGGGGAAAATATGGCTTTTTAAAAAATTGGATGGTAAAGCTGAGTAAAATCCAGCTGTGTTTTGCTTAACACTGCACTAATCAAAGTTCTTTGACTCCTTCTTTTCCTCATCAGTGTATCCAGTGGTGTGTATGTTGCTCCTCTTCCCCCACTATTCACTTTTCTTTTAAGACCCATTTCAGATAGGGATGTGGGTTAAAGCAATGTAATCCTCATTCACCATAGTAATAGAAAACCTCTCCTGCCTTGTAGCAGCAGATAATCTTCACCAGCAAAGCAGTTAGATTTTTGACCCTTAATTAGCACATTGCTAGAGCTCATGGAGTTGACATAGAAATCAGGTGTCTGCTGACCTTAAAACAGAAGTGTAAAGAATACGGTGCCCGTTTGTTAGAAGTAAAATTGCTTCTGGGAAGCAGTTTCCCAATTAAATCGAGAAGTAGTCATACTGGAGCCCTGAATTACACACACATGGAGTTTGGGGTTGTGGGATAGGAGTGCGGGGGTTGTGATGAGATCCCTGGCCAGTAGTCAAGGGATTCCCAAAGTCCACTTTTGAGGCGGGGTTTGTTGATGAAGGCCATGGTCAGATTGGGCTGAGAAAAGTTGTTTTAAAACTTATTATTCTCTCAATAAATCCACATTCATAGAGATGCAAAGCACCATACAGAGCTGCTAAAATTCTCTAATTAGCAGATCGAAGGAAAATCAATTCATATGAAGGCACAGGAAGTGACAAACATGATTTACAGGGGACTCGGGGTTACTAACGCTATTATATAGAAATATTTGTACAGATAAGTCCCCACCCCCTGCCCCCAGCCATTCCAAGGCTGCTTGATTTTCCTGTTTACAGCAATCCTGCTTCTCTGGGAATTACATCTGTCTTCTCAGAGACACTTTCTTCCCAGTACAGGAAGAGCTCGCTTATTTACGCAGTAGTAATGTCGAGCATGTTAGTGACTTGGTGTTCAGTTCATGGGGGTGTGGATGTGGGTGTGTGTACACACATATACATAGGAGATTCTGAACTGTGTATGAATAATTGCGGTTTCAGGGACTAGGAGTAGTTTTGAATTCTAATCACATATGGCTTGGTTGTGATATCTGTTTATGGCAGCGTTTGGAAGTTAGACCCAGGTATCAAAATGAAATTTGGTCGGCATTGGAAATACAGTGAATAAAGAATTTTATCCAACTTTGTGTAAAAGAAAAAAGAATGAGTAACCCAGTTAGGATGATGTAAAATCAGACCTAGAAACAGTAAACCAGGGTAAGCACTGCACAGGGACTAGAACAGACGTGAGAGGAAGATTGGACTTGCAAGGTGGGCGTAACAAATACCTTCCAGAAAGGGGCTGGGAATGGCCCAGCTCTGTTCCCCAGCGGAGTTAAGAGAGTCCCCTCCACCCCCAGGTTGTCTCAGTGTTTTCCTAAAGCCTTTGACTCTGAGAAGTTGCACGTGGAAGTGGGCAGAGGCCTCGCGCTCCTTCCCTTCTGTCTTGAAACGGTCAAGCCTGCGGCGCGCTCCTGAGTCCTTCCAGCGCGGCTTCTCCCTGCCGCCGCGGCTCTAATCCGCTTACAGGTGTAGCAGCACCATGGCAACGGGCCCAGCCTAGCGCCCAGGAACCTCCGCGCTGTTACCTCAGGGGCTGGATGCCGCCTGAGGAAGAGGAGGAGGAAGATCGCCTGGGCGGCAGTCCTCTCGGAAGATGACTTCATGCTCCCTCGCTTGTCCTTCTGTTCTGCTTCTGCTGAAGACTTGAAATTACGCCTGGAAAACACTTATCCAAAGATGTTACCAGTGACCGCGGGCGGCAGGGACACTGTCTTCTATTGGTTCTTGTCTTCGGATTGGAGAGTTGTTTTCTGAGACGTAGTTCAGGAAGTGACTTGCTGTACCGTGACATGTGGCACCGCTATGCTTTGGGGTTGCACTGCCAGGTGGCTGTACAGTTGCTTCATGTAGGTAGACATTTATTGCATTTGAAACAAAATTAATTTCTGTTTTAGAATATTTTCCTAGGAAATTTTAAAAATAAAAGTAAGCCTTTTCTCATACCTCCTTCTATTTTAAATATGCCTTTTTCTTTCCTACTGAGAGCTTCCTACCACAGCATGGGAGGCTTTTTCCCTCCAAACAACTCCTCCTGGGGAAAACGGGCTGGAATTGGGTTTTTTTTTTTTTTCTGTATGTTTAAGAAAGATTATAGTATCCTGTTGCCTCAGCCAGGCTTCCTATGAAGCATGTTGGGAAAGGTTGTATGGTAATTACACTCGAGTAAAATTGTTTTAGCATTTAGCTATTTACAGTTGTAGTTGCAGTATATAACATGTCATTGTCTTATCTAATAGAACAAAAGAAAATAAATACGGAGCTGTGAACATTGTTATATTTTTGCATCCAAAACATTAGGTGGTTTTTGTGCATGTTTTGTATTATCAATAGTAAATATAGTTATTGACTTTTGACCTTAAAAAGGCTGCTGAATATCAGGGCACACATTTTTTACCCTAAACATTAAATGGTGGTTGGGTTTCTGTGTGTGGAAGGAAGAATTGTTGCTTGAGATGTTTTGTACTGTGTGAAGTTTGATTAAATGCTGTTAGAATTAGGAAAGAGGGAAAGAACAGCCTTTAATGCTACTTTCCTGTATCTCATTACTTTATAATTCAACTGAAAGTTACTCTGACATCAAGAATGTCAGTTCCTTTTAATGTTAATTGTGGTTATTTCAAGGAAATGAACGAAGCTGCTTATTTAATGTTTTGCAAAAACAAATGTCTTTACACGAGGCATTTCTTTTTATCCGTATTACTAGGTACTTCTGCTTGAAATACATGTATTTAACTCTGGGTGTTTCACTCAATAAATACTATAATTATTGAGTAAAACTGCCTGGCCATTCAGTTCTGGATTCAAGAATATTGTGCTTCCTATTGTTTGACTTCGTTGATTCTTCCAAGGGGAAGGCAGTGTAGTTGTAGCTCTTGTAGTGACGAGAGCCATGATCCCCAGCATTCTTTTTTAAACAGCTAGGAAACAGAATCAGGATGCCTGAATGGTGTTGACAAAGGTCTGTTCTTCTAGTTGAGAGTTTGAACATTGCTTTTGTGGGTGGGAGGTTTCTTTAAGGCATTTTATTCTTTATTCATATTTATACAGTAAAACATGGACAGAACCAAAAGCTTGCCAGAAAAGAATGTCGTATTGAAATGGAAATCAGACCTTTTAAAAGGCAGGGTCTTATGCTGAAAAGCTTGGCTTTAAGTGTGTGCGTGTGTGTGTGTGTGTGTGTGTGTGTGTGTATTCTGCCAAAGCAGAAACAGAATAATTAGCTACTACTATTTTATCAGTAGTAGACGATAAAGCTATAGCATGAAAAAAAAATATGTCTTTTAATAATACCCTTTCATAAATAAGAATATATAAGATAACTTTGAATAGTATATATTTCCTCATTTCCAAGACAGGAGTGAGGATAAAAACAACGTCTGTAGTAGAGCTCTGAGCTCCCTTGAGACTACAAAATTATAGTATGTTTTTGTGCTTTATTAAGGAAAAAAGTATGTGTGTGTGCATACATAAATATATATATATATATATATGTATGTTTTAGATGTGCCACATGAATATGGTTATCGTTGTTGTTGTTACATATTAACTATTAGTTTGCTCATTTATTTTTTTCCTTAGGCATTTATACATTTGTTGTTAGCCTCCAGTGCATTAGACCTTCATTTCCTTGTTGGCCAAGCAGCCACACTGTCTTAAATACCTGTTTCTCCTTTCAGGTCTCGTGGGCTGCCTAAACTCAAGGAGTCGCGCTCCCACGAGTCCTTGCTGAGCCCATGCAGTGCAGTGGAGTGTCTGGATCTTGGGAGAGGGGAGCCTGTATCCGTGAAACCACTCCATAGTAGCATCCTCGGACAGGACTTCTGCTTTGAGGTAAAAAAGTATAGAATGAAGAAAGGGTAGTTAAACAGCAAGCAGATTTTCTCTCTAGTCATTCTGTGATTTCAGTCCTCTGGTGTTGATGATTCAGTCACCTTAACTGGTTTTCCATTATCGAAAATTACCTACTTACAGGGAACAGTTTTAGAAATCTATTAATCTAATTATATTAATGATTAAAGTTATTAATGATGGCTTCTCATTCCTTTTGGTTTAATCTGCTTTCGAAATAAATGGGTTCTTAACACATTCTCAGCAGAGGTCACAAGATTAACAATAATATTAAATTAGTATTTTAATTTTTTAGGATTGATAAAGATATCACCCACTATGTTATTATTTTTCTCCTGGAAGTCTAAGCCTCCAACTTTAATAATTCTTTGAGGGAATTGACCAAAACATAATTTTTCTAACGACAACACGGGCAGTTCAAGATCTGGGACCACGTCTTACTAATTTTTATACTCTCATACACCTCGCCCAGCCCCTGGCACGTTGCAGCCGCCTGATTTTTTGCATGAACAAATTGCCCTGTACACTTCAACATGTAACCAATATAAAAAATATCAATGAGTGAGATTTTTTTACATTCTTTTTCTGGGGGGAGTAGTACTAAATCTCATGTATTTTACAGTTATAGCACGTCTCAGTTTGGACTAGCTACATTCATTTCAGATGCTCACTAGCCATATGTGGCTAGTAGCTGCCGTATTAGATCAGAATATGTCATTTGATCTGATTCACTAGGTTATACTCTGAGACTGAGTTAATATGTGAGCACACTTAGCAATTTGGACAGGTCATTTGTTGGTGTTCTTTTTATGTCGCTTGAACTTGCCCGTATTTGTGGAACTCCATTTAACAGGCTGTATACCAAGCCCAGTGTTAGATGCTAGGCATGTAGATAACATGTTTCATTTTTAAAGGACAGTGACAATAGTGGTCAGGTTAACCTAATAAAGACTAGAAATCAACATGTGGGGTGCCTAGTAGAGGAGAAATGGATTCCAAAGACAGCAATTTAATACTGGTAGCCCTTTTTAATTTCATTTAGTTCCCATCTATAATATTATAGTGAACGCAGCCCCAAGAAATTGGATGAGCTGTTTTAGAGACGCTCTTTCCTTTTTAGTTATTTTTTTTATTAACTTATTCAGAATTGAGCATAGTCATTTGCAGGTAATTTAAGATGTGGCCTGAAAGGTTTTTAATTTCAACCCTACTGAGCAGTTTGAGGTTTTTGAGCTGAATTCGCAGTGGCCTTTGTTCTCATACCTGGAGATGAGTGAAGATGCAAAGCACAAAGCGGACGTAGATGTAGATAACAGAAACCACCAAGCCGGCAAATGTCATTTTGGTTTCATGTAGTGTGTATTGGGTTCATAGCTGATCCCTGACTCTTAAGCGATACAGCTGGGAAACTAGAGCCCCCGACCCCTGTGTTTCCCTTTCCTTATCTCTAATCTTTATCTTGAAGGTTACCTACCTAAGTGGAAGTAAATGCTTTAGCTGTAACTCCGCTTCAGAGAGAGATAAGTGGATGGAAAACCTTCGCAGGACAGTTCAACCAAATAAGGTAAGAGTGGCTTTAAGTGTCTAAAAAAGTCTCATTTTTATAGACGCTTTTAAAACACATTTGCATATTATGCCATTTTATGCTTAAAATAATTTTATTGGCAGATATCATGATTTTACCAATGTGGATAAGAAAACTCAGAGAAGTGAAGTAATTTGCCCAAGTCAGAAGCTAGTACATGATAGAAATGGGACTAGAATCTCAGTTTCTCAACTAATCTCTTTTGATTTGCAGACATTAGTCCAGTTGCCACTCTGCTAGCTACATGAGAACTTACATTACAGGACAATAGTTTTCAAACCCAAGTAAAATAGTATGTATGTGGCTCTCTAAGATTCAGATACATTCTTTAGAGCTTGCTATTATCGTGAACAATGAGATAGCAAACTCTTTCATTATTTATTAATTACCTGTCATAAATCATATAATCAGCATCACCTATTTTAAAAGGAAAATTTGTATTTGTGGGATTTCAGCTTTCAAACTCAGCTCTATTACCTCTTTATAGGACAATTGCAGACGGGCTGAAAATGTTCTCCGTTTATGGATCATTGAAGCCAAGGACCTTGCCCCTAAAAAGAAATATTTCTGTGAACTGTGCCTTGACGATACCCTCTTTGCTCGTACAACCAGCAAGACCAAAGCAGACAATATTTTCTGGGGCGAACATTTTGAATTCTACAGCCTTCCACCTCTTCATAGCGTCACAGTTCACATTTATAAAGATGTGGAAAAAAAGAAGAAAAAGGACAAGAATAATTACGTAGGGCTGGTCAACATCCCCACTGCCAGTGTGACTGGTCGCCAGTTTGTAGAAAAGTGGTACCCAGTGAGCACGCCCACCCCTAACAAAGGGAAGGCAGGAGGACCTTCTATTCGGATTAAATCGCGTTTCCAAACTATCACCATTCTGCCTATGGAGCAATACAAAGAATTTGCAGAATTTGTCACCAGCAACTACACCATGCTGTGTTCTGTCCTTGAACCAGTAATTAGTGTGAGGAATAAGGAGGAGTTGGCTTGCGCCCTCGTGCACATTCTTCAGAGTACCGGCAGAGCCAAGGTAAGTGAAAGAGGAGAGCGCGTTACCCCGGATCTCTTCCCTGCCTCTGCGAAGAAACAAACAGCGTTCTGTGGAGGTCTGAGTTAGAGAAATACACTTTGCTGTGGTCAAAAAAGAAAAAAGAAGGAAACCCATTAGCAGGTCTCAGATCCAGAAGAGATGGGGATTATAAAACTAAAGAAATAAAATGGACAGACCACAAAGATTTATTTACATTCCATTTGCATGAAGGATAGATACCACAGCTAGCTCTTCATCATCTGACAAAATAAATGGTAGTATTGGCGTGATAATCCCATAGTGTGTTCAAGATTATTTATCTTTAGTTCTAGAATGTGTTATGTGGCGATTTTACTCCTCACTGTATCTTGTTTAAGATTAACTGATGACATATCCCCCAGTCACAGAAAGAGGTATTCCAGAAGCGTCCTAGGCGTTAGCAAGTGTCTTCATGGGATTAAAATCTATATTTGGAGTAAAGATACCAAGGGATGTTATATAATTGGTAGTTGTTTCATGATAGCCTTATCTCATTTCATCCTGGAAAGAAGTAAAAATTTAGGAAGACAAAAATGAAATATGCTAATTATATGAAGAACAACCACCAATTATTAACTGTAATAGTTATTAACTGTAATAATTATCACCTCTATGGAGGCAATATTCACTTAACTAGGCTGAGTCACTGTTATATGCAAATTGGTCAGTAAAATTGTATTTCAGACCTAGAGATGTTCACAGAATAATTTATTTAGAACCAAACAAAATAAAGTGCTATTAAGATTTCTTGATACAAGTCAGAATATATCAGTATACTCAATATTTTAGTCCCTTATCTTATTGCCTTCCTGTTTATTATAAGTTTTGTGGTTGGATTCACTGATAATCTTCAGCTTTCTGGCATTAAAAAAGCTTAAGAATTGGGGCAAGGTGTCATTGAAATTTGAGTATCATCTTTGAAATTGTATAGATATGTTCTTTCTGTTCTTCAGTTGCTCAAAGTTGAGGATAAATATAAGCTTTTTAAAAACAACTTTATCGTATGATTTTTACATACAATAAACTCTACCCATTTAGTGAAAAAGTGAAAAATTGAATGATTTTTTGACAGATAATGTTTCCACTGAGACCATCGCCAAAATCAAGAAATAGAATGTTAACCTACTCTCCAAAGTTCCTTCCTGCCCCTTAGCCTGAGAGTTTTACTAGTGATTTCTAAGTCTGTAACTCCTTGGCACTGTTAAGACGCCCCAGAGTAAATCCTATGTTTAAAATGCTTAATTTTAAAGTAAATCAGCATACTCCCTCTGTTTTTGTTTTTTAGAGACTTTGATATATCTAATGAATCTATAGCATTCAAAATATATGTTATCACATTTCAAACTGAACAATAATAAATACTGAATTTTACATCAAGTTCTTTAAGACTGTTGAGAATGAAGCAGCTGTTTCTTAAGGCCTGGGTTTCTCCTTGTGCCTTCCTTCTCCGCCGATGGGTGGGAGGGCGGACAGACTGCCTAGCAAGTGAGGTTCGTTGTTAGGTTCAGGAAATTCCATGTTGATACCGTGGACCAGTTTGTGACTTATGCATTCAAAACCTAATATGTGCAGAAACAGGTAAGTGCTGCAAATGTAGAGGTGAACAATAATAGACACTATCTTTGGCCTCGAGGGGCATACAGTCTTCTGGGGAAAATAGATATTAATCAAGTAACGAGAGAAATAAACGTGTGCTTACAGTGAGAAGTACAGAGGGAAAGAAATACGGTGCTGTGAGCGTGTGGGCTGAAGAGGCCTGACTCACGGGGTTCGGGGCGGTGTCGGTCAGAGAAGGCTTAGCTGAGGGAACGATGCCCAAAGACCCAAAGGATCTGAGGGGCTACGTCCACAACGGTGGGGCAGGAATGATGTTGGGAGGCGGCGGAACTGAGCAGCGTTTGCACAAAGCTTTGTAGTGAACAGTCACACCGTGTGTTAGAAAAGGCTTGGCGTACCAAGGACCTGAAGACCCTCGAGGCCGGGTCAGAATATACAGATATGGTGCAAGGTGATGCTGGGAGGTTGTCGGAAACCAGAAAATACAGAGGCGTGTAGGCTGCTCTCAGAATTGTGGTCTTTATCCAAAGTGCAAAGGAAAATCTGCGAAGGAATTTTACACTCAGGGATAGTGGCACCTAAAATGTTATCCTGACTTTTTCTTTGAAATGTATCTGGTAGCTTTAGTTTTGAAGCAGGGTTCCCAAGATGTCTGATATTTCATCAGTCTCTTCTGATGTATATTTATTCAGTTGCTTTCTGCCTGATTGAACATTGTTCTACCAGGACTTTCTGACCGACTTGGTGATGTCTGAGGTGGACCGTTGTGGAGAGCATGACGTCTTGATCTTCAGAGAGAACACCATCGCCACCAAGTCCATTGAGGAGTACCTCAAGCTGGTGGGGCAGCAGTACCTTCATGATGCGTTGGGTATGGAGAAGAAACACATGTTCTCTTTTCTTCCCCTTGTGATTTCAAGTTATTTCGTCCACATAAGACAAACAGATTGAGCTAATTGAGCTCGAATTCTGCATGTTGTTTTAGTCAACGAATGTGTTAAAGTTTGAGTGCAGCTTTAAGGAGTCTCTGCAGTACTAACTCACCAGTGGAGAAACAGCAGATGGGTTTATTAGGATTTGTACAGAAGATAAAGCTCATTAGCATATGCAGCTACCCCCAGGTGCCCAAGTTCCTGATTTTGCAATACGTAATAATATTGGTGGGTGTCACTACTGAGGGTGGCCTGTTTCCCCAAAGTGTTGGGGATTTATATGTGATACGAACATATCACTTAAGTCTTGGAAGTGTTAACATTTGTTATCATGAATCAAAAACTAAGAAACTCTTGCCTATTCTCACAACTTTCAATTTCTGTCTTTGAGGCCTCCAGAATTTTC